ATGGCAGAACTGTGGATAAAATCTTGCTTCTTCTTGTTTTCAACAAATAATAATTAGATACATATGAGCATTTATGACATTTTATTTTAAAATTATTTTAAATTTACACAATAGTTGCAGAGGGTGGTTTCCTTATACTTCTCACTCAGCTTCCCAGTTGATAATGTCTTATATTTGTTACAATTAATTAATTAACAAATACTGATATTATTATTAGTGACTGTGCAAATCATTCAGCTTTCCTTTCCGTTCATCCAACGTCCTTTTCCATCACAAGGTTTCATCTAGGAATGCCACATTACATTTAGTTGTCAAGCCTCTGGAGGCTCCTCTAGCCTGTAACGGTATCTCAGACTTCTCCTGTTGTTGATGACTGAATGGTTTTGAGGATAGGTTAGGGATTTTGTAGGTTCCTCATTTGCAATCTTTCTAACTTTTTTCCTTAACCACACTGGGGTCATGGCTTTAGAAGGTCGTGGAAGTGTCATTCTCCCCACACTCTGGGCACAGACTGTCTTCAGCACTTGCCACTGTTGATGATCTCACCTTGATCACCTGGCTGGGGGTGGTGGGGTATTCATTTATTTGCCAGGCTTCTAGCCTGTACAATTACTTGCCCCCCTCTCACAATACCCCACCTTTTAGAAGTTGAGTTACTAAGCACATTCAGGTGGGGAGATTATGACTTAAACTTCTATGATGATAAATTACTTGGCCAAGTTAGGATTCCTTTACTGAAGTGAACTTTCATTAATGTATCTCTGATGAGTCTTTTGGGAGGAGCACCTAAAAGAAGGGAAGAAATATATGTTCCCCTATTACAGTGCTTCTATCAAGCTGATAAAGTTTTTCTCTGAAGCAAGGCAGTCATTAACTCCTCTGCCCAGATCCTGGCTGGCAAATATCTAGCATCTTCTCTGCAGCCAGAGCAGATAAGGATAACTGATAATAGCTCTTAAAATGCTGATGCAGCTCTGCACAAAATGACATGGAAGGATGATCATCAAAAGAAAGTTCCATAGCAATAGCAAGCAAGAATAGGCTCCATTTACATAAATGTATTTGCATCAGAAAAAGCCTACAGGGATAAAGATGAAATTGTTAATGCTGATAAATTGGGGGTTCCTTTATTTCTTTTCCCTTCTCTACATGTTCTTATTTTCCTATCATCATCATATCATACTTACATACCATTTATAAAAAAGCTAGAAGAAAAAAGGTATAAATTGTCTCTTCTTTGACGTCCCCATCGCCCTCCCCCAACACTCGGAGGGTGCTGGTGAAACCAGCTTCCCCAAGACAAAGTTGCCAGGGAGACCCAGCTATATCCTGCCCTCTGGTTTTACCTGTCTTTAGTCAACATTACTCACTTGGCTTACTAGGGATGGGCTTTGTCTTACTGATAGGAAATGGGGCACAGAACAGGCTTAGAACTCCTAAGTAACCCAGCAAGTACACAGTTCCTTCTAGAGTTAAAAATGACATCACCAAACAGGGACCCACAAGGACTGTGTGTAGAGTTCTGACTCTAGCTGTACGGGGGACAGCTCCCAGTGCCAAGGCAGGCCTAAGGCCACTGCTGTGCTACCTGGAAAGCTAACCTCACTGAAGCTCACAGGACCCAGGAAGGTCAAGCACACCTTTCCCCTCCCCTGCCCAGGGCCATTCGTCACTGCCCGAGAGCTCAGCCAGGAGGGACTCAGCACTGTCACTAGAGTTCCACCAGAGGCATGGGCGGTTCTCCCGGCAGTCACCACCAGAAGGAAGGAACAGCACTGCGCATTCTCTGTGCTGGTCATAATCCCCACTCTCCTGACAAAAGCACAAACGGATGTGCCTGGACAAGCGAGCCGCTCCCCTGCATAAATGCTTTGCAGAGTTATGAAGACACCTGTCAGTGACTGTAAGCCACGGGCATTCACCTCCGTGTAATGTGGGGCCCTTTCCCGTCAACTGCCCAATAAAGAGTAAACCACATGATGAAAGTTCCATACTTAAAACAATTCCCAGGGATGGAGAGCCAGTGAATTCTTCAAGTTTTACGCAGAACATTCAAGCATAGCACAAAATAAAAGCCACTCAGAAAAGTATCAAAAGGTCCCTGAGAGTCTGTTCCCAATGAGAAAAACTCTGAGAGGAGGGAAAATACAAACTGGAAATGGAATAAAATGTATTTGAGAAGACACCATTCTCTGTGCCAGTCTGTCTGGGCCCAGACGTCTGTTGTTAAATATGAGGACGTTGCCACAACTTGGGGTGTGTTTACAACTCAAAGGGCCCTGCACAGCTGGGTCCAGTGGTGAAGCTGCGGCCTCATCTCCTCTCCCACACCACGGGAGACCGTGGCCAGCTCTGGGTCCCAGCACCATGCGGCTGCCTCTGCCCTTAGTTCTAAATGGCCCCACAGAGAGACTAGCAGGAGCAGCAGCAAATGCTATTGTAGGCAATTTCACTTTCAATTCACACTGGGCCACAGGAGAAAAGCTAAATATAGGAGAACACAGGGCATGGTTCACAGCTGTACCGGTGAGCAGAGCAGAGGCAGGCTGAGCGTGAGGCTGGGGCTTACTCTCCCAGCAGCTACTCGCTCCCTCGCCTCCCTTGGCAAAGCAGCATCTTCCACAGCACAAAGTCACAGGACACAGAAGACAAAGCAACCACAGGGACTGCTGACCCGCTCATCCATGTTGCAGGCTTTGCAAAGCAGTCCAGAATCCAGCTCTCCAGCTAGTTCACAGACACAGAGCACACACAGCCCAGAACCACGGGATCCCAGCAACCCTGAGCTGCATCCATGATTTCGTCTCAGGGCAGTCTATGCTCAGATTCTTCTTCGGGGCTTGTTTTAATTTCACATTCAAATCTAACAACTCTGATGCTACTTCCGATGCCCTCGAAAGACATATAGGAAGTACAACACTCACAGAGGAGTCTTCAAAACAAGCAAGTGATAGTGGAGAGTTACAGAGAAACTACAGGCAGCAGTCAGGAGAACTAACAGGGTCTAGAGACCAGAAGTCACCCCACGCACGAAACAGACCCTGAGGACATTGAATCAGATGGTGGTGACCATTAGTCTTGTGAACAAAAGGTTTTCATTCCACATATACTTAGGAGGTACAAGAGAATATGAGATGCTGGCACTAAGTCCCGGCATAAATGTGAACATATAAGTTTTATGTTCTGATATTTTAAAGGATGAATCACAAACTATTTACACAATACTCGGCTAGCCAGCATGACAAATTCCCTGAGGATTCTGGCACATAATAAATCTAAGAGTCTATATTTTATTGTTACCACTGGTAGCTATGGCTTCATTAGTAAAAACAACCTTAATCCGGAAGCCTACTTCTCTACTGTCTCTCTTTCCAGAAAAACTTAGTTTCACCCAGAAACCATTCTTGTGCAGTGCTTTATAATACGAGGCCTCTGGAGGAACACAGTTGTGAGGGTCAGGGGTTAGTTTCACCGCACAGACTAAAGGCAGGTCAAAGATGCTGTGCTCTTGCCAGCCACTAGCAGTGGTAATAGTGATGCATATCAGAAGCCAGGGCTGGGATCAGGTGCTAAGGCCCGGAAGGAATAGGAGGCACAACTGGGGAACCAGCACCTGTTGGCAAAATTACTCCAGTCCCACTACACCATCAGTATGAGGACAGAGAGACTGTTCAAGTTACACGACCAGCCGCGATGCAAGAGTCTGTTTATGGAGCTTTCTTGCATGCCCAGCGTCATAACTACTTCTCTGATTTCTATTATTTTATAGTAATATGACCACAGGTGACTGGTTAAATCTGAATGCAAAAAATGGGGGAAATGAAGTTCTAAATTTAATAATGAAAATTCATCCAGGAACCAGATTCTTTTAAGTTCATAGTTGGCAAGAAAAGTAACAAAAAAGGGTCTATACTGGTTTTTGTTATAAGTGACTTGAATGCACAGAATGACCTCTTGAGATCTGAGTTATCCCTGTGATATGCTCCAAAGAAAGAAACAACTAGCATCAAAAATTACGTGCAAATGCTCTAAGAAGACAGAATGACAGAACTATTGCTTCATTAGGGACAAAACAAGGAGTAGTCTGTCTGCCCACCTTTGTTCCTTAGGTACTCCATAAGCTTATACTCGGGATTGGGAAAAAGGGTGAACGATGAAACTGAAGACATGAAATGTAGCCCTGAAAAGCAAGTTCTCCTATAAGGAACGAGCAAAGGGGTCCAATTGTACCCAATAGAAAGGCAGCCAGACATGCCCTGAAGGTTCTACTGGCACATGTGTGGAACTCATTTCTCTGAGTCTCTAAAAGTGTGCATTCTCATGTCCCTGGATAACTGAATGACACTTAGTTAAAGGCTGAGGTCTCAATTACGAAACCTCCAAAGAACATACCCTTCAAGCCTGAAGATATAAATAAAAGCAAAAATAACTGATTTTACATGGCATTAAAGAATCTCTAAGTAATAGTATCAGAAAACTATTTGCATTTTAACATGTAAGAACATTTATAAAACTGTAAACAAACTTTGCCTATCATGCTAATCCATGCATTCTCTCAACAGGAACTCATTTGACATGTTCAACACATACAGCTATGTAGTAGAAACAAAGCCCAGAAAAGACTAAAGGGGTAAAAACTCACAGGATTAGTCAGTGTAAACAGTGTAAGGGATTATTCAGAGAAGTAGGAAAGGGCTAGAGCTAATCAGGGAAGACTTACTAAAAGGGGTAAAATCTAAATCTAGTCTGTATTTGTGATGTTCACAAGCTGTTAGAGCAGAGGCGGGGAGACATTTCTACACTGCAGGTTACGAATCAAGAAAGGCAGGAAACTCTAAAGACATTAGTCTGGCAGCAATGGAGGACCATCAGTATGTGTCAAACACAAGGGCAAGCCCAGTGGACCGCTAAGGAATGCCCAACACAAGGTAAAATGTTGCACTAGCCTTGAAGAGATAATCCCTGAGACGCACCCGTCCACCTCCAGAGCTCTTCCTTACCTTTTCCGTAGAAGAATTTACGGTAATAGTAGGCCCCCAGGTCAATGTGCTCAATGATGTAGCGCTTGACCTTCTCCCTGTGAATGGGCTGGTTTTCTCGTGGCACTTCCAAGACCGAGACGCCTGCATTTGTGCAGTGAGAGCTGAGAGACGACTCAAAGGAGCAGCTTTCCCCAGAGCTGAAAGAGGATGAATTGGCTCGAGAGAGCGCGATCCTCCTGTCACCTTCTCCACCAGTCTCGTTTCTAAAGTAAGGACAACTAAGGACGAGGTCGTTGCTTTTCCCATCCCCTTCATCAGCATCCAGGTTCTCTTTTGAGTTGAGGTCCTCCTTGCTCCCCAAAGGGGACTCACAGTTGCCTGTCTGGCCCGTGGGCATCTGCGTCTGGGATGCGGCAGAAGCCCCGGTGGTTATGTTTTTTCTTTTCCCCACATTAGCCCTTGTAGCCATGGCTTCATTGATATTAAACAAAATGCTCTGGACATCATAATGTGCAAAACATCGCTGACAATGCCAAGGGCGAATGCCCCTCTCAAGACGGCCCTCCTCCAGTTCTGATGTGAACTTGAAAGTTTCATGCTCGCTTTTAACAGTTCGCAACTTTCGGAAGAGGGAAGTTTCCACCGACTCCGATTTTAACCTCCGTTTGAAAGGCTTGTCCCTGTCTCTCCCCATCAGGAGGGCACTGTCCATGTAGTCCAACCCTGAGATGCGGACAAATTCTCCCCTAGAAATCTGTGCTGCTGCATGAAGGCTGGGGGATATTGCAGGATCACAGGGAAAAAACTCAGGGAACCCAAAGGGGACCATTGCCTTGTGGTCATAATTCTCTACTCGGTACCCTCGAAGCATAGCAAAAAAGTTTTCACCAGATAAGCCCTGCCTGTCGATGGACGATGTGCTCCCGTATTCCCTGTGCAAGGCGGCCCCAGTGTTGGGGTTGACTGCATTTTGGTCTAAGACATCTTCAGCATCGATGTCACTGATGGTGACATCGCTATTGCTTCTCTGCCTGATGGGGTGAAGCCCTCTTTGAGGAGAATGAACAAAGATGTCTCCGATGGTGTACTTCGCCTCCACGAAGTCCACATCAAGCTGTTCCTCTTGCTGCCCATCACGCTGGTCATTCTGCCCATTGTGCATGATGGAGGTGACACTTTCGTAGCTGGTCTGAGATCGGCTTTCCCACAGCGTCTTGCATGTCAGCTCCTTGGAACAGTCCTTTTTAGGAGGCCACTCAGACACTCTTGCTCTCACGCCCATTTTGGGCACGGCTGGGGTACCGTTGGCTGGACCACCACTCTCACCGGAATTTGAGGCATTTAAAGAAGTGGGTCCCATGTTGCCATTAATGGCTTTAAATTTTCGAGCAAAATAATCATCCGACTGCATGATTCTGGGAGGGTCCTTGAACTTTGAAGACGCTCTGCCAAGTTTGTGCTTATCTTCTTGTGACTGCCTTGGGTCACTCATGTCTAGCAAAGCCAGAAGCTTCAAGTCTTCCCAGAAGAATGGATGCAAATCTAATCACATTGCTCTTTACAACACAATAATAAGTGCAGATATAAAGGCTTTGTCTATTTTTTTCATTTTAACCAAAAGTAAACAACATCCTCAGAACATAGTGTCACCAAAACCAGCTTGCTCAACTGTTGTCATGAATTTGTACACCTCTGTTCTTTTCAAAAGCATTTCTTAAGACATCTGGTCATGGATGTTTCCTTCACCTGAAATAAAGGAAAGGAAATAGCCATTAGCAATTAATAAAGCTCAATTTCAACCATTTTTCAGTATGGCTCATTATTCTTTCTCTCCTTGCTCCACCCATGTCCAGTCCCTCCACAGCAGTCACACCGTTCCTTTTCTCTGGAACATCTCTATCTTCCTTCTCTACATGGCTGTCTCCTGCCCTGACACTATATCTGAGCAAAGAGACTCCCCCTCGGTGACCTCCTCACACTTGCCCTCATCTACCTCCAACAGAGCTGTCAACTGGTCAGTCTCTCTTACCAGCAGATCTCAAGTTCCTCTAAGCCAGGAGCCAGGCCTTTCAGTGTCAGATTCACATGAACTATTCATGCAGCCTGGCTTAAGCTACAATAATCATACAACATTTCAATGATTAAATTAATGATAGGAGTAATAAGCTAGTCATATATGTAATGTGATTATTATTATACTTTCTTTCAAAATACTCAAATTGTCCCACTGCAGAAGGTCAATATCAGGCATTAGCATGTGAATCTGTATGACTGTTCACAATCAAATAAAGTGAGAAAGGTTCTTGAATGACCTGGTGTCTGAAGAATTCAACTTTCTAGTTCATTATACTACAGGCAAATGTGTGGGATAAAATAAGTCACCTAGATCTATAAAACACTGCAATAAGACCTGTGTGTTGGTAGAAACTCAGTCTAACCCACTCTTCTCTTTAATTACAAATATCTTTCCTTCTCATTTATTCTATCTTTAATTAAACAAAAATATTGCCAAGGATTATGTATCTTCCCAACTCATGACAGATTGAGTACCTCACTTGTCAGTACAAGAGTGACAGAACAGCTCTATCTCTTCTGGAAATAATGATGGTAATAAAAGTATAATACAACCGATCTCCCTTACCCGTCACCAAAGCCTAGGAAATAACTGCAATTCAGCTCAAAAATGTTAAAACCCCAACCAGCTAAATATCATAAGAAATCTTTCCAATGGGCTCCTAATGGTACTAAGATGAGCATGTGGTGGTCTCTTGAAACAACCTATATTTTCTGGTGATGGTAGCTGTTTTCCTCACATTATGTACATCTTTTTAAAAGTCTTGGCATGATAACATGCTGTCTATTCCCAGAACTGTTCATAACTGAGGAAATATACTGATATTTTACGATAGGACAAACAAAGGGAGAGTAGGCAGTCAGATGCTTACATGCACAGAAGAGGAGACATACTATCTCATGCTTCTCAGAAAGGCAAGAAAAATGACTGTACCTTACTATTTCACTTAGAATTATTATGTTTAAAAGGACCACAGATGACTGAATTTTAACCTATTTCCTGTACAATTCAGGCTATTATCAAATCTGTTCCTGGAAACTGCAAAAGTGACAACTACAGTACAAGACATCTTGCCTAATCTCTCTCTCCTGAAATGTATTTGACTCACTTGTACTAGGCTTATACAGAATCTGTAAATTCTGTTGACATTTCTGCTGTGAATGGCACACAACAAAGTATTATTTCAGTAACTGCCAAAGAACTACATGAATTCACAGTCACTGATACGAAATTAGTTTGCAGTTACTCATTTGCATATATTCTGTGCCTGTCCTAGCCAGCACCAAGTTCCAACCTATAGTTTTCAGAAATTTCATCAGGAACACAGAATTCATCACACAACTCACCACAGAACAGTAAAATGTACAGAAAAAAAAAGTAGAAAGAACAAAACTGAATCCTAGCTTTGAAACAGTAAGAAGATAGGTATATACCTTCTCAAGCCTGAAAAAGAGACAGCACAGCACACAAGTCTTCAAATGAAAAAGAAGACATAAGCACAGATAAAAGACATGAAAATATATAAATGTAAGTACAGTTACCACATGTAACTTTATGGCAACAAATCTGAAAACCCAGAGGAAACAATTAATTTCCTAAGAAAACAATTTCCCCAAAAGTGACCTCAGAATGGAAAATGTGAATAGAATGATGACAATTGAGGTGAACAGAAAAAAAAAATCAGCTGCAAATTGAAAATGTACCACAAATACAAACATGAAATGCAAAACAAAACAAAACAAAAAAAACCTTAACCATTGCTTTGAAATTCCTTTAACCTCCTATTTGTAAGATAAAATAAATGCCAATTAGGACATATTCTACCTCCCTCCCTTTTCTATGTTGATGGCACACAATAAGTATCAATGTTGTACATACCACGGGAGTCAAAGCAGGAAAATATTCTAAATTAAAAGCTCAATTAAGGGGCCAGTGCTGTGGCGCAGCGGGTTAATGCCTGGCCTAAAGTGCCGGCATCCCTTATGGGTGCTGGTTCGAGATCTGGCTGCTCCACTTCCGATCCAGCTCTCTGCTATGACCTGGGAAAGCAGTAGAAGATGGTCCAAGTCCTTGGGCCCCTGTACCCGCATGAGCAACCCGGAAGAAGCTCCTGGCTCCTGGCTTCGGATCTCATCGGCGCAGCTCCGGCAGTTGCAGCCAATTGGGGAGTGAACCATCAGATGGAAGACCTCTCTCTCTCTCTCTCTCTCTCTCTCCCCATCTCCTCTCTCTGTGTAACTCTTTCAAATAAATACATAAATAAATCTTTTTTAAAAAAAAGCACAATTAAGAGACCAAGAGACTGCCACCCTACCCCACTGCCCTCATCAGAGCTACACAAATCAGCATCTCCTCACACCTGTAACCCTTTGTCATACCCCCCAGGGAAGCTCTTGAATTTAAACCACCCACTAATAGATGTGCAGAAAATAGAGAAACTACAAAATATTAAAACTAGGACTAGAAATAGTAAGATATACACTTAAATAATTAGTCCAGGAAAAACTGACTATACATAGAAAGTCATCAGAATTTACGGGGCTCAGATTCTTATTGAAAAATCTGTCTTCTGAGCATCCAAATTCCTCTATAGCTGTAACCTTCTCACTGTTTAACATACAATATTAAAAAATAAAAAAATGTTTATTCTATAGTTCTCTTGAAGAAGCAGAAGATAGGGTCAAAGAATAAGGATTTTTTTTTTTTTATTTGACAGGTAGAGTTATAGACAGTGAGAAAGACAGAGTGAAAGGTCTTCCTTCCACTGGTTCACCCCCAAGATGGCCGCTACGGCTGGCGCGCTGTGCTGATCCGAAACCAGGAGCTAGGTGCTTCCTCCTGGTTTTCCTTGCGTGTGCAGGGGCCCAAGCACCTGGGCCATCCTCCACTACTTTCCCAGGCCACAGCAGAGAACTGGACTGGAAGAGGAGCAACTGGGACTAGAACCCGGTGCCTATATGGGATGCCGGCACCGCAGGCGGAGGATTAACCAAATAAGCCACAGTGCCAGCCCCAGAATAAGGATTATTTTATAACAAATAGCAGGTGTGATTAAAAATCAGTGCATTTGTGCTGCATTTTATCATTAGGTTTGTTACAGAGGATAAAAGCTAAGCAAACTCAGAGCACATGAAAGCCTTGGTCTGCGCTGATCCCTCCAAATGGAGCACCAACTGCCTGGGCTGAGCTGACCACCATTCCCCATCACCATGCTCCTCCCCAGCCAGGTATTCCTGTAAGGGATCTTCCACTTCCAAATCACCCATTTTCTATGCCTGATAATGAGCACTTCCCCTAGCAGAAAGCTCACTGCTAAGGCCTGACTAGTGGTTAGAATGTTGCTTGGGATGCCCACATGCTATACAGAGTTCCCTGGGTAGAGTCTCTGCTTCTCTTCAGATCCAGTTTCCTGCTGATGTGCAAACTGGGAAGCAGCAGATGACATCTCAAGTATTTGAGTCCCTGTCTTCCACGTGGGAGACCCAGAAGGAGCTCCTGCTTTGGGTCTGGCCTAGCCTCTGCTGTTGTCAATCAGTGGATGGAAGATATCTCTCCGCGAACCCCACCTGACTTTCACATATAAATAAATAATTTGAGGGGAAAGAGAGAGAGAGAGAACAATATGAGTCTAGAACTAGGTCTGTTTGGTTCACCACTTCAACAGCAGTACATAGAAATTTCTTGTGTGTGGTAGATGTTCAATAAATACTATTAAGTAAATTACTAAATGACTAAACAAATACATTAGGCAGTAACCCTCTACAATATAATATTTAAACAGCAAGTTGTTGCATTTACAGAATCTATTGTATTGTAATCATAAAAATTTCACTTTCCAGAAACATGTTCATTTCAGAGAAAGAGAAATACAGATAGCTACTAACACTCTACAAGACACTATTTGCCCCTAGACATTTTCTCAAATCCTTAGAGCAGATTACCATGAACATAAATTCAACATTCAACAACTATCTCACTCTGAAGAGGACGCTTCCCACCACCCCCCTTCCACAACAGACAAATGTGGTGATTACAGATGTGTCTTGTGATTGTATAGACGGGAAAGAATGTCATACTTCATCTTCTAAGCATCTCAGCGGCTTCCTCTCTGAGGCTAATGGCTATTCCCAAACATGGTAAATAACAAGGATACCTAAACGGCCAGTTCTGCCACCAGCTCCATGTTCTGTGGGTTGCTTATGGTGGCTCTGGACACAAGTCTACGCACCATTCCAACCAGGATGTCACAAAAGGCGCTCAGCACCACATCCAAGTTAGAGATGAACATAAAGGAATTGCTGAGTCCCCACCTGTCTTCTTTTTCATGAACAGCTGGGAGTCTGTTCCTCTCTTTATTCTCTGTGACTTTTCTATCATTTCATCATTCAAAGAGATTGTGAAACTGATTAGGGTAGTATTAACACTGGCAAGTGCAAAATTGGTCTCCAAAAAGTCATGGTATGCTTTCTCAGAAAGCAGAAGTGTTACTTAAGGAAGTGTTCACAAGATGTGTCAGAGGACAGTGTTGTGGTACAGTAAGTTAAGCTGCCACTTTTGATACCTACATCCTCTATCAGAATGCCAGTTTGAGTCCTGGCTACTCTGCTTCCCACGCAGCTTTCCTATAATGCACCTGGGAAGCAATGTGTCACCGGCTCCGACACTTATTGCC